GCTTCTCTGACTTCTTGGTTTAATCATTTTCATATGTGTCTTACAGAATTAGGATCTTCTCACTGGCTTCTTTCCCTTAAAAATCTCTCACTTTCATCATCTGCTCCCAGGTGTCACTGGTTCTATGTCAGCCTGTCCTTGCTGACCATATTTAAAAGAGCAAACTCTCATCTCAACCAGTTTTCTATTTCTGTGAAGCAGTGCTTTATTATTAGGGTATGCCTCTGCCAAGGAGATTTTTGTACATTTATTTACACTGTTTTTTATATATTTCACTATACTTTTACTCTTAATATTATAAACTCACTGGCACTTTTCAAATCCAAAATGATAAAATTTATTTTTAGTCATTAATAAACTGTGATTATGAAGTTGCAAGCTACACCCTTTTCTGTATTACAACTTTGGGAATGGTTTATTTAGAATATTAAGCATTCTTAAGACCTGACTTTGATTTATAATAGTAAAATAAAAAACTGTAAATAAAAATAGGATATTGATAAATTTTTGTCACTTGACTGGGTCTCAGCCTTCTCCATACAACATCGCCGAATTGAGTTTCCAAGATAAAATGTCCTTTTTACTGCGTATTTCTCAGTAAAGGGTTGTGATGGCTAGCCAGTGATGATGAAAAAGGACTTTAAAGGACCTTTGGGAAAGCTTTTGCTTTGTTGACAAATTCCATAAAAATGCAATTATTTTTACCTTAGAGAAACAAAGCTATTCTTATTTTAAGCTAGTGTACATATGTTTTTTGTTACTGAGGAACATGCTAAACGATATGGCCTCTCCAAACAGGAGTGAGAAGACTACAGAGTGACCTGTCAAGACATGACAAAACATAATGAAAATGAAACATCTGGGTTGATGGCATTCTAAAATTAAAATGTAAGGAAAGACTCTAAAGAAAAGTAAAATGTAGGTTACATTGAAAATTACACCCTTCATTTCTTTTTGTAGAAAAAAGAATGACTATGAATTAACTGTTCACCAACAAGGTGGATAATTTTTTGTAACAGAAAAGGATGAATATTTTCATTCTTAAGTATAAATGAATTAAAGTAGTTATGACCCTTGATCCTCATATGTCAACTTGATTAGAATGAGGAAAATCCAGCTGATCAGTGAGGTGTACACATGAGTTGTCTGGGTGGCTCAGGAGGTGTGACTCTGGGCACTATACATGGTCTCTGGTCCATTTCTTTTCTAGTACTGTTTCCCTGCTCTTTTTCCTGGTCTCCATGCACTGAGAATCCTGGTTTTGTCATGCCCTTACATTCCACATTTCTGCCTTGGAACCACAGGACCATAGACTGAACCCCCTTAAATCATAAACCAAACTAAATGTCTCCTACAACACCTATAAATTGGGAGTGTTGGATATTGTGTCTCAGTGAAAGGAAAGCTAATATACCAGTTATCTAAAAAGACAATTATACATATCTAAAAATAAATTCATAGGACAAAATAAAAGTGGCTGCTAAATAAGAAAAAAGTTAGATATATAAAATAATCAGGTATATGTAATTACAACAGGTAATAAAATTAAGAATTAAAGATAAGACTAGTAACACTAATGAGAAATAAAGTACTGTGCTTTTCACTTGTGGTAATATTCATTCATGTAAGATTTTGCCAGGCAAATTAGTAATATGAACAATGCTATCTGTTTTTTGATATAATCATTCTGTACTAAGATTCTGTTATGGCTTGTATCTAGATGTTCCTCCAAAGACTCAGGCACATTTAGGTTGGGCTTTTTGGAACAGGCTGGATCTAGGGCAGTGATTACAAACCTTTTAGAGACTAAATGCCCAAACTGCAACCCCAAATCCACCTTTTTCTAACTCAAGGTGCCAACATTGCAATTAAACCTGAATACTAAGGTCTTAGTTTACAAAAAACAACTGTAATAGGATGCTTGACTACTATGGCAACTTGGCTCACATATCTGTAAGACAGATATATATGCCTGCTGCAGTATGTGTGCCATAGATTCCCCAGCACTAATCTGGGGTGTGTGAATGTGGATTAAGGGTGTGATATGGAATTAAGGGTGTGGATAATGGAAGCAGCACCCTGGGTGTGAGTGACACCAATCATTAGGGTGGTAGCCTGAATGGAATATAAAGGGACAGAAAGAAGGCAGGCTCACTGCTGCTGCTTTGTGGCCTTTTGCTTACCATGCCATGGACTGTTTCTCCTCCACTGTGCAACCCTGCCCTGGAGGCAGCTGACTATGGACTGAAGCCTCTACAGAACATGAAGTGAAATAAACCTTTTTTCCTTCAACTTTATCTTTTGGGTATTTTGCCTCAGCAATGAGAAAAGTAACTAAGACATGAACTAATCTAACAGATAGAAAATATATATTCATGAAGATGCAGATATTTGAACTAACTAGGAAAGAATAAAAACAGAATAATTAATTAAATTAATTACAGTACAGTTTATGATTAAAATATAAAAACCAAAAATTAATGTGTATGAAATTCTAATCACATGTGAAGTATGTGTACTATAAAGTAGAGAGATGTAGTACTGACATAATATTCTTTACCTAGAATGGGTCTAACTATTCAAATATATCTGTCTTTCACAATATTAGAGGGGATGCTTTTTCTTTTTTTCCTTATTTTGGTTTACTTTTGTGTTGAATACTTCTTTGTTTGAAGGGGCTGAAGGTTGCACATTGCATTTTTTTCAGTCTTCCTCATGAAAATAAATATCATTTCTTTAAGCACAAAGACCAATATCTACACATCTACAGTGAACAAAATATTACGGAGTGCATATGACAATACAATCTGTGAAGAAATACCAAGAATATAGAATATATTTCTAGTTCATTTTTCTGTTTATATCATAATATTATATATATGATTTTATTAATCACATTCATCAAATAATCCTACAAAAAGTAAACATTAATTCATTTATGTATCAGTATGTAAATGTTGAGCATGATACATATATATGTCTCTGTGTGTAACTGTTTATATAAAACTGTAACTATATATTTCAGAGCTTAACTCTGAACTGAGATAAACCGCTTTTGCAGTGATAGACTTGCCTCCTGCTACTTGCAAACAGCATTAACTCTAGGCAAGTAATCTAAACCTCTTTTTACCAGTTATAAAATGATCATGGTAATAATAGTAATTATTTCACATTGTTTGCATAGAGGAAAAGTTAAATACTGTAATGAATACAAAATACTTAGCATGGTATCAGGTAGCGAGGAATCACTCAATAAATGCCAAGGGTTGGATTTATTGAGCTTCCATTGCATTGTAATTCTCATGAAATCTGTAAATTAAGTGCCAGTGTTTCTAATTTACAGATTAGTAAAGAAACAATGAGAACAACAAATTAATTATCCCAATCTCACAAAGTCTTTCAAATTCCCAGAGGCTACAATTGTTTGTAAAAAGGGGAGGGGAAAATAAGAATTTGTTTTCTAGTTTTCAAGGGGAGCTACAGAAAACAGATACTTGGATAAACAATAATATCAGTATATTTATGGAATCTACCAGATAAAATTCAGAGAATCGCTTTTTAAAATTTTTATATTAATTATATACCATACTTAGCTTGTGAGACAAAAACACACAAAAGTCATTGTACCTTTGTACACATTTTTTGGCTGTCTTGGAATTCTGGGTTGTACCTTTCCTTTATTCTTAAGGCCTATAAACTGACTGGGTGGGTTTTGGTAGGGTAGATACCTCTACCACCCTAACACACACACAATGCTGCAGGCACACATACTTCTAGGACTTCTGCCTTAAATTAATGCTGTACTATTAGCAAAAGACATCCAGCTCTTAATGATACTAGCAATGACAATGACAGAACAGGTCAGAAGTATGTGCCCTGCAGGATATTTTTTAAACAGATAGATGTTGAAGGAGTTTAACAGTGGGAAAGGAATAAATTGAAAATAGACAGTAAATCAATGAAGATAGAGTATGAATGAGAATTAGAGCCCCACCTGTAATCAGAGTAGTGAAATATTCCTTGTATCAACATAGAATTTGAAATAATTTAAGCATATTTAACTGTCATTCGGGCTAGAAACAGTTCAACTGTATAATAACAGGATTTTATACATAAGTGCAGCAGTTACACACCTTATCTGTAAAGTCACTAGAACAGTACAGTGAAAGGGGTAACTTCCCCTTCGCTTGGCCACGCGGCAAGGATTACTCAAGCAGCCGCTGAAAAATATATCTAACTCGTGCCCTGGTGTAGGCCTTACCTCCGAGTCCAGCATTTTCTGCACTGTATTGTATTTTCATCACTAAAAGTGGGAGTGCAACAAAAAATCTATGCAAAAAAAAATCTATGATTAAAATCAGTTTCTTGTAAGACAGAAAAAGTACTTCATATTTTTATGTAACCTATTTGTCAATAAGAAATTGTGAGCAGCTATTTTAATAATAGAGTGTTAGCTGATTTTCACATTTTATCAACTAGCTAAAAAATAATTTCATTTGTTAGGACAGAAATGTGAATGTCCCAGTTGAAACGATGTACTGTTCAGATATTTATGTAAGTTATCTATAAGTAATATATTCCACTATTACATGAATACTGAATTTAAAGTGTGTTGTACTGTTCTACATTAAAATTGAGTATATATCCCTAAAGACATATTACACTTTCCTAGTACATTTTCATTTTACCAAAAGTTATGCCTATACTGTAATGAATGAAGCTTAGAGATCATTACTTTATAACAAAAAGTTCCTTTTATACTACCCGAAAAGGTCACAACGGAATTTGCATTCACTTTTTTTAGAGATAGTAATATTCTAGTTTTGGATAGTCAGAGATATGGAAATACTTTGATCATGAAATTCTATTTTTCCAAAGGACTAACAATGGGGTGGTCAGTATGACTTGAACTGTACCATGTGTCAAACATTCTTTGAAAAGTAAATTAATTTTACCCACAAAATATTTTCTCTCCCCATATCCATTCAAAATACACTAACCTTGTCCTAAAGTTTGTAGGATGAGGGTGTCCATCATACAAGGATAAGTAGTCGTATTCTTCTTCTAGTGCAAATGACTGAAACACAATTTGTATTCTATTTCCTTCTTCTGCTATTATTACCCATGTACAGTTTGCGCCATTTGGATATCCATATGGAAAACCAGGGCTTTCTATAGTGCCATTAAGTCCTTTTAAAGTTCCACCACATGTATAAATAAATCCTGCAATAAAAACAGATAAACAGATATTAATATTATTTAGAAGAAAAAAGTTAAGGAAATTAATATTTAGAAAAGTCTTATTTTTCTGAAACAAATGTTAATAATAATTTTGTAAATGACATTTTAAGAGCTAGATAAATTATGTATATATTTATATTATGTATATATATTTATAGTGGACATAAATACATATGTAAAATAAAATAACAAAATGCTAAAATTAGCATTTTTCATGTTGAGATTAATAATAATAAACCAATCAATGAAATAAAATCATCCCATGCATCTGATTCATTATCCACTACATTCTTCAACAAACACAATTCTGGTACATGCTGTCTTCCTTAAAGTGATTTCAGATCTAATTGTGGAAATGTATAAATAGCATTGAAAATTTAATGACTATAGTAGGCATATTAAGTTTCAATTCATTTTACCTTTTCTTGGCAAAGGATAATATTATTTTGCATATCTATAATTCTACTGTGTGTGTCTCATGTTTTAGGGAGTTCTGTTCCACCCTGATTATCAGGAAGGAGGTTTTTAAAAGGCCATGCATTTGTTCTAATTTTTATCAGAGTATTTGGCATAGTTTGGATATGATCCTAAATTAACCACATCAGTGTCAATCACAAAGTGGGGGCCATATATTGCATATCATTTCTGAGCAACTGATGGAAAAGATCTCAACTTCTGTTCCAATTCTATCAGAGGTCTAAGTCTTTGAAACCGTGACTCCTAGAGACTCTTAGAAAGTTTACTATATCCCTTGAAGAATTAATTTATTTGAATATATATTTGAATATATATTTGAATATATGGTGTCCTTTAGTCTATGATGTAATATAAAACTCCAAGAGTAATATGATAATCAGAGTAATACGCTGGATAGTTTATTTAGACAATATAAAGCTTAGATCTAGAGGCAGATACTTAGTATCAGAGAACACCTCATTCAGATATTTTCTACATTTGCAGGTCTCGCCTTAAATTTAAATGCCAACAATCTATAAATCAGAGACCCTTTGGAAATGTGAGGAAGGAAACTCGTTCCACAGGATCTGTACCATCAGTGTTTGGGATGAATGTAGAAATGAATGAAATTTGGAACTACTCTCTCTCAAGGAAAGAATGAGTGTGGTTTATATAGGGGCAGTTATTTTTGGAAAGTGAGAGAAGCCCTGCTCAGAAGTTGAGAAGCCAGACTGCATATGGTGGAAGAGAGGGAAATTTTGAATGTTACACTCTCCTCACCATTTGCATCTTATGTCCCTTCCGGAAATCACTTTTTCACTAAACAGCTATGTGTTCTAGAGTAGCTGAGCCAGTGACTCTGGGGGTGATAACAGTGGCTTAGGACTGGCTTAAAAAGGTAAAATCCTATCCTCTAAGCCATATTCATTTTGGGAATGCACTCTTATTACCTCCACAAATGGCAGAGTCTTAAGGATAGGATATGACATAATGTTTTGATTATTCTTCTGCTCTTTAAAAAATTAACCAATGATTTGGATCGGGTAGAAGTCTAATTTTAAATTAATATTTGTATACATTCATATGTTTTTTTCTCATGCCCTAAAAGGTAAATGGGACATTTTATGATAATAAATAAATAAATAAATAAATAAATGGTCTTTTAAATTGCTTCTAGCAGAGAAATTACTTTGAAGCCTTGGGTAATTAGCTATCACCCATTTCTATAAGTTTCCTGCCTCAATAGCTCCCAATTTGAACTTTATAACAAATGCAAGCATGAATCCCTTCAGCTACCATCTGATCTATGGAATGTTGTATATATTCTCAAGCCCCATAACCCTGATGGCTTTAGAGAAAGGACATATGTCCTAAAGTAACATAGCTGGCTTTGTCCACTAATTCTTTACAGGCCTGATCATTCATGCACTTCACATCCTTTCTTTTTTCCCTTTAGAAAAGTTAAGAATTACATCTACTTTAAGCTACCTTGCCTGTATTTTTCATTTTATTTTCATTTTTGTTATGACATTATCGATTATGATGAAGTATATTTCCAAGACTAGGTTTAAGTCTTTCACTAAAAAATAACATAAGATCAGAAATACATAGTTATTAAAAGTAAATAAAATCTCTCCTTACTTACAGATGTTTCACAAGACTGATTTAGTAATCAGCTCAACTTTTCTAGGTCTTTCTAATTGTATACACATATACACTTATTTCTATATATTGATATTTTTTCCAAATGGTTTCAGGGATACTATACCTCACTGATATTATTCTGACCCAGATATATAGTTCCACTACATTTCCACTTATTGATTGATTCAGTGCCAGGGATCAAACCCAGAACCTCATTCATGCTAGGCAAACAATCTACCATTATTTTTCCCACATCCTGAGCCTACTACATTCTTTTTCAATGACTGTGTAGGCACATAACATATGGTATGCCTTTATTATCATTTTCTTATTGATAGCTTCATTTTCATAGTTATGGATGTGTAAAAAATAACACTAGGCACGTTCTCTTGTGCCCTTGTATAATATATCTTTAAAATGGAATCCCAGAAGTGGTATCGCTGAGTTTTAAACTTACGTAGATATATTCAAACTAAATTCAATACATTAAAAAGTTTATGCTGATATCACCATAATATGAAGCTTCCCACCCTTAACCTGAAGCATGGCCACATTAGATTTTTTGAAAGAAAATTGTATAAGACAAAAATGGCATACTATTTTATTTTTCATTTCTCAGAGTACAACTGAGATAAATATCTTGTTATGTATTTCGCAGTTATTCACGGTTTTCTCTAAGGAGTTGCCTGTCTGTATCATTTGCATGTTTGAAGGGCTACATTGTCTTATTTCATGAATCTGTTAGGCTCCAATTGCTGAGGTTTCTGTTGTTCCATTGGTAATCTATATTTGCATTTGTATACACATTTCTAAATAAAACAACTTTGCTCCTTCTTTAGAATTCATTCCTCTCATAAAATCAGGGCAGCTTATTGTGCTTTATAGTGTATGTGTATTATTATCCTCTTCTCTGCTAGTCTTCTCCGATAATGCTTCTTCGTGTTCCTTCACATGTTCATCGCGTACACTGAGCCTTAGAGGTAAAATGTTGGGATATCACTTTATCTTGTCCTCTGGAAATCAAAGTAAAATGTGAGACAGTGGGGCAGTTATGTTATTGCTACAGACATAGGCAAGGGCGAGGATCTGGTTAAGCACCTGGCCCTGCAAACACAGGGAAGCAAACTTAATAAATCAGTGTAGGGTGATGGAAAATCCTTCCTCAAACTGGCATTGCAACGTTTCTCAGATTCCGTCTGGTAGTTTCTGAAGGCCTCATGCATGTTGTACTCTTCACATCTTGACGATTAAGGTCCACTGAAAACAGTTGATTTATACTTGAAGCATAATCAGAATTATATGTTTTGGTCATATTTTCAACAAGAGTTTGATTAACAAAATATTTTCCAACATTTTCCTTATTTTCTTTTGATGCACCATCTCAGTTTTCCTGCATACACTAAACAAGACACTGACTAAGTGTGCCACATTTTACATCATATCTCAAGATTTACTTTTTCTCTTGTGTTATCCAAGGGCCATGACAACGTAACATTCGTAACTGCACTTAACAAATTTGTGTTTTCATCAGCCATCTTCATAAACCACTGTAACTAGCCTGCTACGCCCGTTATGTTGACAGGATTCCTACAAAGGCTAGTCATAAACTTCCCATGATCAAGCTGGTTGTTTCTTATTGTTGTCATTGTTATGCATTTGGAACAGTTAATCATTCTCTTTCCTTTGGGGATTTCTTTCCATTTCTTCAGTGCTTCCCCAAACTCAGGGACTTCTGCTTCTAGAAACAAACCTCTGCTAGATTTCTGTCTTCTTTTATTTTTTACAGGTTCCTCAGCAACCACGCACATAGCTGCAAACACAATTGTAAATATAATCTTGTTATAGGATGCAGTTTACCACAGTGAGCTGTGAGGGACACATATCTTCATTTACATATTACCATCTCTCTTCTACATATCTCTATGCAGATACAGTGAACCTTGTCAAAGCTTAGTCATCCATAGCTTTGGGGAATCTTTTCCTTTCCTTTAATTTCACCATTTCATTCTTTAAATATTTCTCAAATCTGTCTCTCACTTTTTCTTTGTTTGTCAGTTCTACATTTTTAAGATTTAAATCAGGTCTTCCTCATCTCCTGTCTGTCACATTTTGACTCCACCATATCTCTCCTTCACGGCTTTGCCTGTCCATTCAATTCTCTACACTGCTGCTGAGGTCATTTCTACCAAACCCTGACCCTCCGTGTCATGGCACATGCCTATAATCTCAAGGACTCAAGGAGGCTGAGGGGGGAGGATCTTAACTTAGAGCTCAACTTGGGAAATTTAGGAAGTTAGCGAGGTTCTGTTTCAAAGTGAAAAAGAGTTGGAGATGTAGCTCACTCCAAAGGGCATGGGTTTAGTCCCTAGTACTTCCAACAACACACCTGGCCTCTCCTCCCAATAACACACACACACGCGCACACTCACACACACACTCACACATCTTACCATTTCCTTGCTCAACATTATTCTCCAGCTACTCCTCAATGTCAAACATTCACCCTTCTCTCTGTATACCTTACATATCAACTGACAGATTTTTTTTTCCATTTTACTGAACCAGGTTTCATCTTTAATTTTAGACCCACAAATTGGATTCTTAAAATTCTTGGAGGTGACTCAGAAAGAGTTCTCCATAGTGGACTCATGACTGGTTCCGCTGGACAGAGCAGGCCATGGAGGGGCATGAAATTGTTCCACAGTGTTCTCAGCCACTCAATACACACTGAAGTAGGGGGCATTTGCCAAGCAGCTTTTGCTTCCCTTGTTAATACCTTTGCTTTTAATATTTACCATCTGTGGTATAATTTTTTGTACAAACTAAATCTTCTGAGTACTTCAAAAATTTGTTTTTAAACCAAGTTGACTCAGGATAGAACC